CTTCCCATCTCATGAGGGTCACAGAGAGTCCCTGCTCCGTCGCAGACGGCCGTGTCCCTAGCTTCCCTAAGTACAGGGCTTCCCAAGAAGGTTATCTACGACCTGAGGAACTCCTTTTCGTCACCGGGTAACAAAACCAGGAAAAACGGAAGCGGCTCTGGCAGAACCAAGCTGCTCGGCTGCCACCACGGCGGAGCAGCGGAATTCTTCTTCGCCCCGACAGAGTTCTAGAGAAAAGCCGGCGTACCGATGCCTACGGCACCCCAAGTGCCAGAGGGTTAAAGGCCTTCCGGCCAGGCAAGATACACCTAGGGAGATTTCGATGGCGCGCCCTCGGGAATTCGGAATCTAAGACTGAAGGAGCTAGGCAGGGCTCGTGCACCCGTGTCAAAACGAGGCGGTCCGTAACGGCTTCAGAGAAAGCCGGCAAAGGGCTCCCAGAGCTGAACCGGCCAGACCTCGTCCGAGCGCTGGGAAGTTAAGGAGGCAGGGCAGAATAAACCCGAGGGGACGGCCGTAAAGTCGGAAGGGACCAGAAGAAACCATCGGCATTACACGCCACCATCGGCTACCGGATTAGAGAGAGAAACGCTCCAATTCCTATAGCCCCACCACCCTCCTTTCTGTAACAATACCTCGTACTGCTGTAGCAACTGCACCATGGAGTCGCCCACGAAGAGCACGTCGGGCTCCTTGTCTTTGCAGTCCAAGACAAATCGATTGTGCTGTCAAAAGAAAGCAGTAAGGTAAGCTCCAACCGCTGAGGGCTCCTCACCGGTATCTCCGCTGCTGCGGGACAGAAAGGGACAGTTGCCCAACCAGTTTCCCCTGCTGCCCGAACCGCACTGTCCCCTCCAACGCCCTTCTCTGCCTTAACCCGTGAACCGCCGGACCCTCCTCCCGGCGACACAGACCCCAGCGACAGTCTTGGTTCCGGCAAGAGCAGCATCTGCACGCCGCACACGCGCGAGCCGTTGAGCCTGTCAGACGCCCCTGACAGCCGACAACTACAGAGCAGAGAAATTAGCGGTGAGTCACTGCAGCGAGGATCCCCTGGCTGTTTCTCCCCGTCT